TGAAACATCTGCATGCTTGTAGTTAGTTCATAGGAAAAAAATCTAATATTGGTTTTAAATAATAGCACAACATTCAGCCTTACTCACTATACCTAAGAGACTCAAACAAGTTCTTGAAAATACTGGTGCTACATGAAAAAAGTGACAGATCAGGCACAAACTGGACATTTTTACATAAGGTTTTACTCATGTATTACTAGTGGTTTAGACTTTAATGGCTATGTTTGTCAAATTACTTCCATAGAACAGCAGATTTTACACCGTCATGCAAGCTGTACACAGACTAGGGGTGGGTATTGCCAAAGAAGTCACGATTCGATTCGAATCACGATTCATAGGCCACGATGCGATTCTATCACGATGCATCATGATACTTGAATTATTGCGATGCATTGCAATATTTTCTCCTCCATGTTTTGTTTTTGAATGACTCGGCGCAGTATCCCGCGGCCGGAAATGCTTGTGACACAAGGCAGCGTGCGTCAACACATCCGCAGCGACATCTACTGGACTGGAAGTTGTATTACACTTGTTTTTGGCTGATGTTCGCCAACAAAGCATGCAATTTTATTTATTAATTTTTTTAAATTAATAATAGATACTTGGCATCAAGAATCGATGCAGTAGATCACGAAAATTAGAATCACGATGCATCATCATGACGATTATTTTGCACACCCCTAACACAGACTACATTACATTGTAAGAGCCGATCATATCAGCATTGTCTTATAAAAAGATATCTCAATAAAATCTACACAATATCTGGAGTTCTTTTACATTTGTGAAATACTGCATATTTATATATAAATAATCAGTTTACCCTTGAGAGGAGATTAAAATGAAGGTTTTTTTGTTGAATCGGCCGCTTATCTAGCCGATACCTGGAAATCCACTTAAAGGAAGTTGATGTTTCATAATTTGACAATATGACAGTCAAAGATAACCGTAGCTGTGGACATAGCAGGGTCATTTGACTTGTAGAATAAGGCAAACATACCACAGATATACAGTTATCACAATATCATTGTGTGAGACGTGTATGTATACCCTAAGGGCTGTTTGAAATGAATAGTGGTAGGCCAATATATTACTAACCTGCATTTAACATACTATTGTAATATCTAGCCACTTTGACAGCAGCACATGCTCTCAACAGATACAAATGACATGGCATAAAATGCTTAAGAGGTTACAGAGTAGAGGGAGCACAGATGGGCATAAGCACACACAAACAAAAAGAAAAAAAAACTAAATAACATTGTTTAGATGAGCCAATTTGTCATCATTTTGCAAGTGTAACAACAAACCTCAACAAAGCAGTGCACAATCAAGGGCACCACGACAATAGCCCTGTGATTTATGCGAGCCACAAAGTAAACTAGGCGTAACACCCTCTGGTTTATCCACGTCAACATTCAAATCCCATTGCAACATGTCGAAAACATTTGTTGAGCATTTTAAGAACCATCTTAGTTCCAACTGATCCGTGACAGGGAAGAGTGTGATAAAAGCACTATGGTTTGGATGTTCACACGTTCAAGCTTTCAGATTTCAACATGTGGTGCATTTTCTTCCAACTGACAAATTTACACTGATAATTATAAAAAGGTCACGTATTATAATACATAGATGGCATCTGTAAGATTTATTATAACTAATAAAAAAAATATTTCTGTGTAACCAGGAGGCGGTAGCAGCTGTAATATACCTTATCAAATATTGCATTCAAGCAATTATTTGCAAACCTAATATTGCTCACATTGGATCTGTGATGGTGATATGTTCCATATCCTCCAAACCTTAACTGGTTTGAATAAGTTGCCATTATTGTTCATCGCTTTCACTCTGTCAAATGATTTGATTTTAGTTTACTCTCTAAAGTGCCTTGAGATTACATATGTTGTGAAGTGGTGCTATAAAAAAAATTAGAAATGTATTTAATGGAATATGTATCATTCAAACGTATTGGTGTAACAGCATGGGCCTCGAAAAGGTAGGGGTATATGTTTTTTGTATGATTAAATAGATGTACTGCTGCAAAATCTTCATTTTATTCCTGAAATTAAAATTATTTCAATCAATGAAATCTTTTATGCAATATATTCATTTGTATTGGGGGGAAAAAACTATTCTGGGGGGAATTAAGCAAAAAAAGAAAAATGTTTTGACAAATGTAATGTGGTTGGTGCAGTATTTTTGCCATACTTCTGCATAAACAAGCTCTCAGCTGGTTTACATCATACCTGGAGTCTAAAATACACAGTAAACATTAAAGACAGGGTTTCAGCTCCCTGTGAATATAAATTGGGAATTTCCCAAGGCTCAATTCTGGGACTATTGTTTTTTGGTCTCTATTTAACTGAAGTCCCAAAGGTCTGTAGAGAAACTGAGCACCAACTGTATGATGAAGACACAGTCATCTATGTATCAGCAAAGACTCCAGATAAAGCTGCAGAGCTGTTGAACAGACACATGGTCAGCATTTTTTAGTGGCTCCAAGATACAGTTTGTCTTTTAACAGTTTCAAAATGGTCTCCATGAGCATTTCACTTTGACAGAAATCTGCAGAAAACTGTTCACATTCATAAACAAGTTCATAAAGTTGCAAATTTCAAATATTTGTACGTAGTTTTTGATACAAACCGATGTGATGAACATATAAACAAAACAAAAAAAAACTATAGCCCCATTTACACTACCCTCTGGAAACCGATCCGTGCAGAGTTCGGACCAAGCTTGGATCAGTTAACCGTGCCGAGCTCAGTTCCTTGCGACCATTTACATGCCATGCTCGCACGGTTCCTCGCCTCCTTGTGATGATCTATGGTACTACTGCTCTACTAGAGGTAAACGAGCAAATCAATCATGCTGGCGCCCGTAACACTGAGGAGGTTTGGTTATAATTGTGATATTCAGTTGTTTGCAGACAGTCAGGCAATGAAGGCAGCGCTTGGTGAATTTATTTGACAGAGTTGGGTTTTGGGAAGTGGATACGACAAACGATAGTCTAATCAGGGCTTACAGATGCAGGAAACAACAACAGACATCCAAGTTCATCACACTTCTACAGCGTCAGTGTTCTGTTCTTAGCTGACAGGCTTGGCACCTGGTGTGGTCTTGTTTTGCTGTAGCTCATACACATCATGGTTCAACATATTGAGCTTTCAAATAATCTTTTTGTTATAACAAATGGTTATTTAAGTTAATGTTGCCTTTCTATCAACTCGGACAAGGAGTCTGGGCATTTTCCTCTGGTATAAACAAGGCATTTGCCCCCACAGAGCTGCTACTAACTGAATATGGTTTTACATGAAAATCCCAGTAGATTAGCAGTTTCTGAAATACTCCAACCTGCCCGTTTGGCACCAACGACAAGGCATCATTCCAAGACACTTAAACCACCTTTCCTCATCATTCTGATGTTTGGTTTGAACTGCAGCAGATCGTCTTGACTAGGGCTGAAACAATAGGATTAATGTTGATTAATCGATTATTTAAATAACCTTAAACAAATTTAGAAATTAATTAACCCTTAACTGGAGTATAGAGACTGTAAAACATGTGTTTAGCTGACAGAGCGACCCTGGTAGAGCAGTAATTTTAAAAAGGATATGTAAACATTTTGCATTTAAGATTGTCAATAGATTTAAGATTTGCATTCTGTTTGTCAATATGCTCTATCCAAAACTCCTCCATTGGAAAAGTTTTAGTTTCACCTGGTTTAATTTCCCAAAAAGTCTTCTTTAAGGAACCTTTTTTAATCTGATTATTAATCAATTAATCGAAAAAAAATTATCAACAGATGAATTGATTTGCAAAGTATTCGTTAGTTGCAGCCTTAGTCTACTGTAGACCATGTCTAAAGGCATCGAGTTGCTGCCATGTGATTGGCTGATTAGAGATTTTCATTAATAGGAAAGGTGTACCTAATAAAGTAGCTGGTGAATGTATGTTTTTTTATGTTAGTATCTTGTTTCTTATATTTGTTTAATTATAGACTTGATCAATCAACATGGCAGCAGTTGAATCAGGTGTTTATTTGTTCTGTCCCTGTTGAATAAACTTTACAACCAAGGAAACAACTGTCCTTTAAAAATACCATAATTCTCATAATCAATAGTTAACCTGCCCTGTGATGTCATCAGTGCCACATAAGATGGGACATCCAATCCAATTCAGTTCAGTTCATTTATATAGCACCAAGTCACAACACATGTCATCTCAAGGCACTTTACAGTTCAACCAGATTATACAGTCAAATTGATACAAAGTTTTCTATCTAAGGAAAACCAGTTGATTGCATCGACTCAGATGCAATTCCTCACACTTTGTTTGTAGTGACAGTGGAGAGGAAATACTCCCTTTTAACAGGAAAAAACCTCCAGCAGAACCGGGCTAATCCACATCTGGATCCTGAAGTTATTTAATTTTGGGCAAAACAAAAAAAAGCTAAATCAATTAAGCAACTGTTCACAATGTGTTGTTCTAGGTATCTTAACTACTGACTTTAAATTGTCAGAAGTTTTGACCAATCACTTGACGTTAATGACCTGACAACAAAGGGTTGCAAACTAAAATACAGTCTGCAGTGATCCACTGTTTTGGCTGCAGATGTGGAACAGTCACCCTCACATTTTCCTGATTTAAAAAACTACTGAATATCAAACAGATGTGGATTTTAGGGAAGGGGGTTAGTTTATATCATGAGGTAAAACTCTTTAGGCTTGTTTTGGCCAAGACGGCAATTCAAACAATAAGATAAACAGCTAAGTATTAAAATAAGTAAAAGTTACTTCATTTTCTTATGCATCACAAAAGGAAGAACCTCCAGGAAACGCGGTTTGATGTGAATTACCAAATATTTACTACACGCGGAGTGTTTGAGACACGAAGCAACGCGCTGTCCAGCTGACACTTTCTGACCAACTTCTGAAAGCGCCTCTCTTTCTCTTCTAATAGAAATTAGGACAAAACAAACCCTGAACCGAAAGCCTCACCCGGTGAATCCTCTTCCACCCCCAACAGTTCAACACAATGCAGACGGCGGAGTGGACGCTGAGGTCTACGGTTGTCCTGCTGAGTCCATTCGCTCTCTGGAGAACCGATATGAGAAGAAAGATCCACCGAGCTGCTGAAATAAACCTATCAGCCCGGAAAGCGTTCGGGATTTACTCGTTCTCTCTATATATACTCCTTTTCCACATGTTTCTTTTTTTTTTTCTTCTGCTGATAGGCTGCCTTTCATCCGTAAAGTCAGCCTCCAACCCCACCAAGAGGGAGCAGGCGCGGCTTGGAGAGAAAGGAAGTGGTGGTGCGTTTAAGGACAATCGGAAATAATGCTCACAATAGAAGGAACGTGGTTTAAAGCGGAGGTCTTCAACAGGGGGTCCGCGACCCCTAGGGGGTCCACAGAGGTGCTGCATGGGGGGTCACTTTTATTTTATTTTTTTATATCCCCCCCAGCATTTTTTTTCCACTAATTGAAATGTCTTTAAATACACATTAACCCTTCATAGGGCAGTTACAGTTTTTGATCACTTGCATACCCCTTACAAATGCCCCCTCCGTCCATCAGTGAGGTCTAGAAGCACAAGATCTATATTCCCCCATTCAGCAAAGATACTGCTACATGGCTGTACATCTTATTTTGGCATTTGACCAGTTAGATGAGCCCTTGAACGATATATTATCTACTGTAAATTAAGTTGCAGAAAAAAAGTTCAAGAAAATAAGGTAAACAGTTAATTATAAAGTTAAAAAATCAAGGAAAAAAGGTAAAAAGCTTATTCAAAAGTTAAAAAGTAAAGGAAAAAAGGTAAAAAGTTAATAAAAAAGTTAAAAAGTCAAGGAAAAAAGGTAAAAAGTTTATTAAAAAGTCAAGGAAAAAATGTAAAAAGCTAATTAAAAAGTTAAAAATCAAGCAAAAAATACACAAAGATAATAAAAAGTTAAAAAAAAAAGGTAAAAAGCTGATTAAAAAGTTAAAAAAAGTCAAGTAAAAAATGTACAAAGATAATAAAAAAGCAAAAAAAAAAAAAGGTAAAAAGCTAACAGAAAAGTTAAAAAGTAAAGTTAAAAAGCACTTATTTTTGTTATTTTTCTTAATAAATTCGGGAAAGTTGCCGTTTGTTGTTATTACATTGACATTCAGTTTTGCCATCAAAATGTTCCAAAGGTAATAAGGTAATAAGTTCTTGTCTTGGATTCCAATAACACTGTTGCCTTGAAATGTGGATTTTCAAAGGATTTCATTGAAAGGCCTATAAAGGGTTAACAGAGGTGTAGCACAACCTTTTTATAAGGGTGGCCAGGCAATAACCAGTGTATACTGAGGGGTAGCCAATAGTGGATAGGCACCAGAATCTACACTTTTCCAGCAGGAAAATTAACAAGCAAAAACATCCAGATTTTTCTAAATAAAGATAAACTATTATTTCCTACAGCCTTTCAAAACAAATACAATCATATATTTAGATATTTGTGCTTTCTAGATAAAAGGTATAGTGGATTAAATTGTTTCAGGTTTGAGTTCTGCAGCGAACATTATTTCTAATGTCATTATTTACCTACTATCAATAATCGTTCTGCATAAAAGTGATATTTACAAAAACTAATATCTACATACATTTTTTATTTATTAAGTTTTCACTAAAATAGTTATCTATGATTTCATTGAAGACTCCTAGATGACTTGCAGAAACAAATATTTTTTTCTTTACCCCATAAGACAAAATCTGGCTCTGAAAAGAGCATGAATTCTGTATTTTTCATCTTTATTGTTAGTATATTGATGTGCATAATTAACAACAGTGTTTTTGTTGTCAAGTAATTGTTAATATGTGAAGATTTTTAATATTTTGAATATTCCACTTCAGAGTACTACTACTGCCACCATCTGTATTTGAGGGAAAAAATTGCCACGACCACCCCTGCCCCCCCATCTAGCTCCACACCTGGACATTAATATGAATTCAACACACTGTAGTAGACTGATAAATGGAGGCAGAAGATGTCTTTCAGTCATCAATGCACACATTCAGCGACACACAGGAGCTCTTTTAAGCTGGGCACCGTTTCATTCACAACACCTGTCCCATCAACCAGGAATCTGAATCAGAAATACTTTAATAATCTCAGGGTAAAATTACCTTCCTTACATTACTCCATATGTAATAGAGTAACTATAGAACCAGTTTGATACATTTTCATGCCATATATATAATTAGGGGGTCCCCGCTCCATCTCGCCATCAGTTAGGGGGTTCTTGGCCTGGAAAACGTTGAAGACTCCTGGTTTATAGACTTCAGTGCTTCACTGAAACGCCAATTTTGTTACTTCTGTCAATTATATGTATGCCCCACCCATTCTACTATTAGTTTCTATATTTCTGCCGTACTCTGACAGTCCTGCATGAATGCATACACTGGAGAGTGCCCTGGCTGATACTGGATGAGAGGTCAGTGTCAGCTGAATGTTTGGACTGCTTCCCATTCAATCACAGGACTAGCTCACATACACTCAAGAGACAATAGTTTTGAAAAAGCTAAAGTTTGACACGCCGAGTGAGAAAATGCAAACTAAAGCTTAAAGTTCAAACCTGAACTTGAACCTTGTGTGTCCAGTCTGGCCAGTGGCCTACACATAAATGAAAATATATTAGCTAGACATCCACAGCTTGATATTTCAGTTGATATAACATATTTTACAGGGTTTATGTGTAGATAACTATCAACAAGTAGCACTTAATTGCAAAACTGGATTACCAGATGTACTGGATTGGATCAAAGCATGTTCTGTCAGAAAGGACCAGTTAAAGTTCAGATATAAGTCAAACAGAAAATCTGGGAGAATGACTGAAAATAGCATTTCACAGATGTTTTCCATTCGGTCTGAGTTTGAGCAGTTTTGCAATAATGAAGGGAGAGAAATGTAACTTTTAGAGGTGCAAGAGAAACGCTCCAAAAATATTTCAGTAAATATATCAGTAAAAGGTGATTCAATATAATATAACCCAAATGCATGGACACACATTAACAGCACACTTGTCTTGTGTTATATTGTTTTTTGTAACATTTCCTTAACTTTGATTCTCCTCCAGCACCAAAGAAAAAGCCCTGCTTGTGTTGGTTTATCCAAAATTTAATCTTAAAGTGTTTTTAATTTGACCCTGAAAACAGATATGCTTTATGTACCGTAAAGGAACAGGAACTCTGTTCTAAAGTCAAGTATGGCTTATTTATACAGTAAAGCATTTAGTAATGTTCTCCTGCAGGTTTCCAATCCTGCTTCCTACCTCAAGGATGTGGAGTTCCCTTTCCCTACATTTTGAAAAGAAAACATGGGTTTCCAGGGAGTTATTTAAAGAATCTCTGTATCCATTCAGTGAGATCAGAGTTGCATTGCCATCTGCTGGTGTAAAGACAGTCTGACCGAAAGAAGAATTGATGCCCTGTTTTAATTAGTCCCACTTTCGGGTTCCCAAATAAAATACTATATATCTACATATAAAAAAAAAAAGTAGTAAAAAGGACCCTAGTGCAATTCCAAACCTACTCTGCAAAATGCATAGTGCTTAATGAGAGACCCTTATAATTAAAGAAAAACTTAAAGCCAGTTACATCATTTTTTCCACTTAGTTTTATTTTTCTATCCATGTTAGAATTACTATATTAATGCTAATACATAGGTTCTTTGCATTGAAATATGCTAGATTAAATCAAATCGGTTAAAACCTGTAAGGGTGGTGAGTACAAAAGGCTGCCTGGATGCCAGCCTTGTCATATTGAGGGATTAAAAAAAACAAAAGTCCAGTGAAATAAAAACTTGACAAAAAATTATTACAGTGAAAAAAAAAGCAAAAGTCTTTGTACATATCAAAAGAAAATACAAGGAAAAAAACATGCCAATGCATCAAAACAAGTCGTCCCCAATCCTGATGTGGTTCTTGGTCAATCTGACAAACGGCTGCTCGTTTCCGCTCTTTTATTAGACAGCCAGTCAGACCTGAAGGTTTACGGTAGCACCAGTTGGCTCATTGTTAACTGTGAGGGAAAAAAAAGAAGTTTCAAGAGTCCAAGTGTAAAAATAACCCCAACAAAAATGACATTTCTGTCACAGTTAAATGTCTTCATGCCAGCCAAAAAAATAAAAATAAAAGCAAATAGTACGTTCATGGCACACAGCAGCTCTGACATTTCCTTTTAGTGGAGTGATGGTGAGACGCAGCTCTGTTTTGGCGCTCTATGAATTAAAGGGCAAACGAAACAAAGATTTCAGCAATATGTTGAGGAAAGATAAAATGAACACAAAGCAAAGCCCTGGATGTTAAGCTAATCACCGACATAGCTTATTGTCTCAGTAGAGTGGGGAACCATGCTTAACCGCCCAGTCTAAATACACTGAATGAAAAAAAAAGAATGTATTTCCCCTAAAATAACCTATTTTCAGATTTTAGCTACTTCCTGAACCGATGAAGCCATAAATATTAGCAGTGATCCCAACTCGTCCTGATTGGAAATAGTGGTCTTGCAGGACAGCAGCTTTCACAGCAGTTTTGCTTCTGTATACATTAGGAAAAAAGTACAATAAGTATATTCTAGCCCAGTTACATAAAGCAGGCAAGTATTTCATTTGATATATTAAGATCCAGAGATAGAATTTGTACAAAACTGTGATTAAAAAAAACAACAAAAAAACATGGAGTGATCATTTTCAAAAGCTCAGAATTTTGCCCACAGATTCTCTGAAAACATATTTATCAACAGGTGCATGAAGATAGGTGCCTTAAAACAATAATGCATCAAACCAATAAGTTACTACTTTGAGCTGGAAAGGACAGACTCTCAAACAAGGAACCAAACCTTCCACTGCAGACCATCATCTTGCTTCAATAATTTATAATCAGGCTGTACCTTTTACAGTTAACAGAGATGGTGCCAAGTTCAAATCTTCGTTATTTACACAAGCTTCATTAACATAGTAAAACATTTGGCAAAACTGGCACAGATGGGTGAAGTGTTAGTTTGTCTTCTTCAGCTCCTCAGTGACAAACCATAATGTGCAAAACCAATGTGTTATGTTGGAAAGAAAATCTACACAGTACTAAGAGAGGAGATTGAAACATGATTTAGATGCAGAGTTGAGGTGGTTTAGACTGATCAGTCTGTAGAAAGGCCATTTTCTGGAATGCAGGTCTCTATTTAGAACCACAGATCATCTTTCATAAGGCAGGAAAAAAATATGACACTTGATTATTCTGAAATAACTGCATTAACTCCAATATTGTCCTTGCATGGGTCTCC